ATTCGACCGAAAATATGGAAGAAAACTAAAATACCAACCAGTGAAGAATTGGCAAGATTTAAAAGAACTATTAGAGAGTGGATTTTAAAGGGAATTTTCGACTTAAATATCTCACTCTCCTTTTTGCTCTCTTTGCTATTTTTTTATCTTGGTAATTTCGCAGAACTAAATCGATTATTTTTGCAATTCTCAAAAACTCTTTTTTTTCTAATCCCCGAGTAGTCAAAGCCGGTGAACCTAAACGAACACCACTGCCAATTCAGGGTTTTTCACTATCGTAAGGTATCATTTGTTTATTGGCAATAAGTCCCACTTTTTCTAATGCAGAAGCGGCTTCCCGACCGGTCAAATTATAACTTTTTTTAGTGTCAATAACTAGCAAGTGAGTCTCGGTGCCTCCACTAATCACCCTCACCCCTTTTTGGCAAAAATAATCAGCCATAACTTTCGCATTTTGTAGCACTTTTTTTTGATATTCTTTGAATTCTGGTTGTAAAGCCTCAAAAAAACACTGGGCTTTGGCGGCAATAATGGCCGGATTAGGTCCACCTTGATTGCCCGGAAAAACCGCCTTGTCTATTTTTGGTCCCAATGTTTTTTTGGCCAAAATTACGGCTCCGCGCGGTCCCCGCAAGGTCTTGTGAGTGGTAAAAGTAATTACATCCGCATAAGGAACTGGATTGGGAAATAAACCAACAGCCACTAATCCAGCCACATGAGAGATATCAGCCAATAAATAGGCCTCCACCTCGTCAGCAATTTGCCGAAATTTGGCAAAATCTATTTGTAAACTATAACTACTATAGCCAGCAATTATTAACTGCGGACGCGCTTCCTGGGCTATTTTTCTAACGGTCTCGTAATCTAATTTTTGGGTGTTGGGGCCTAAATTATAATAATGAACTTGATAGAAAATTCCGGAAAAATTAACTGGCGTTCCATGCGTCAAATGTCCGCCAGACAAAAGATTCAAACTTAAAATCTTGTCTCTGGGTTTTAATAGTGCTAAATAAACTGCTTGATTAGCTTGGGCTCCCGAATGGGGCTGAACGTTAGCATGTTCGGCTCCAAATAATTTTTTTGCTAAATCAATAGCCAAATTTTCTATTCGGTCAATATATTTACAACCTTGATAATAACGATTTTTAGGATAGCCTTCCGCATATTTACTCATTAATAAGGAGCCACTATAAAACAAAACTTCTGGGGACGGATAATTTTCACTAGCAATTAGGTTAAGAGCGTTTTTCTGTCGTTTTAACTCTTGCCAGTAATAATAATTAAGGGGAGATTTACTTTTCATTGATTTATAATATTTTACAGGATTGTGTTCTAGTTTTAGTTATTAACGAGAAGCAAAAAATAAGATTAGGGAAATATCACCAAGAACGCAAAAATAAATTATATATAATATTAAACAGCAATAATATGTCAAAGAATTATTACCAAATATTAGGAGTTAGCCCGGGTGCTACCCAAGAAGAAATAGCGAAAGCCTACAAAAAAATGGCTCTAAAATATCACCCCGACCGAAATCACGGTAATGAGGCGTGAGCCAAACAGAAATTTATCGAAGTCGGTGAAGCATATGCTGTTTTATCAGGTAAACAGGAGTCTGGATCTTCTAACAAATTTAGTTCAGATGATGAATTTAAAAAATTTGAAGAAATGTTGAGTGAGTTAGAAAGAAAATTTAATGAGTCAGAAAGGGGATTTAATGAATATGAAGAGAACCGTAGGCATGAAGAAGAAAAAACTCGAAGTGAAGCTATACAAAGTATTGAAGAAAGTTTAACCTCATCTAATGTATCTATTTCTGAGTTGGATTCTAGTTTATGGTCTCCTTATAGTGATTGAAAAGAAAAACTTAAAAACTCTGTTAGCAGTGATTTAGATGATTTTATAGCTGGTATGAAGATTGCTATTAATAAGGTAAAATGAAAAAAAATTAATGATAATAACAATAATAGTTCTGGACAAGGATATTATTCTCATGGAGGTTATTCATGGCAGGATCCACAACAACCAAAGAGGTCGGGATATGGCGATAATACTTCACCAAATTTTTCAGGAGGAAATTCCAATAACCAAAACTCTGGTAATTCCCAACAAAACAATGATAATAAAGATGACAAAGAAAAAGATGAAAAAATTAGTCAACTAGAAACCGAAATCCAAAACTTAAAAAACCAAAATTCAGAAAGTCAAACTCCTGAACAGCAAGTTGAAATTCAAAAAAAGGTTGAGGAAAAAGAAAAAGAATTAGAGGAAGTTAAAAATAGTCAAGACAATTCTCAAATTGATGAGGAAAATTACGAAAACTGAACACGCGAACAATTGATTAGCGAAATTAAAAAAGTAAAAGCAGAATTGGAGCAATTAAAGGCTGACAAAAATGCAGATACTTCTGAAAAACAATCAAAATTACAAGCAAAATTAGAGAAATCCAAGTCTAATGTTGACAATAGTAGAGGTTCTAGTCAGTCCGATAATAATTTCCCGACCGGTTGAGTGGTAGGTGGTGGATTATTTTTACTAGTAATAGGGCTAGCGGTAGTATTTATAGCAAAGAAAAGAAAAAAAGTGAAAAAATATTAAATATAAATCTCATGTCGAGTCCTAAAATCAAATTAAAAAGTGGTGATAAAGTAAAAGTTATTACTGGAAAATACCGAGGAACAATCGATTTCATTTCTCGTCTGGACCCAAAAAAACAGATGGTCTATTTGAAAAAAGTCAGCCGCAAAAAATATGATAAATCAACCCCCGAAAGCAAGAAAAAAAGCGAATTAAAGGAAATTATGACTCCTGTTTATATTTCAAATGTCGCTTATTGATTAGAGGATAAAAAACAAATTACTAAAATTGGTTTTTGGGAAAAAGAGGGCCAAAAAAAACGAGTTGCTCGTAACTTTAAAGATAAAAAAGGCAATAATCTATTAATTGATTAAGTTTATTATTTTTTAGGAAAACCGGCCTCTTTTAATTTTTGTCTTTCCTCGGTAATGGTGAAAATTAGGTCTTTTTTGTCTAAACTAATACTAAATCGCCTTGCGCTTGCTTTTCTCTATATTTTTTGATTAAGGCTCGGGTAAAAGCAATTACATAAACCCCGCAGTCAGAAGCATTAGTTTGCCGGGGAATGTCTTTCACATTTTCAACATAAGGTCAAGCAGCCAAATTTGCTTTATCATGAAAGTTTATTACCACTTTCATAGCATTGTCTGGGGTAACCGAAAAACCCAAGGAATTATAATTGAAAAAACAACCTGATTCACCGCCTGCAAAAACCAACAAAGTCCAATGGTTTCCTGCATCTGCCGTCTCGTGGATTTCAGCATTGTTTATAGGAAAGAAAATGTATTTTGCTTTTTTCAAATCTTCGCTAATTTCGCCTCCTTCTTGGATAGTGCGAACCACGCTGGGATTAACTAACTGGATTTCTGGATGGTTGGTGTTTTCTTTCCTAATTTCTTGGTAGGCATGCTCAATTTCCTCCTCGCCTAACCATCAATTTTCAGCATCCACCGGTGGTTTTGGGACGGGATTTTCTGTCGGGTTATCGTTATTTGATGGCTTGGACGGACTTTGTTGCGGTTTATTTTCTGAATTTCCTCTGTCCTTTTTGCCATTCTCTATTTTTCAATTAACAAATAAAACGGCCGCAAGTATTAATGCTATTAAAATGACCCAAAAAAATATTTTCTTCCAAAACTTTTCATATTTACATTTATTCGAAAATATTATAATCTATTTTTCTTTCTCTCCAAAAAAGGTCAATGACTTAATTATTCCATAAACTCCACTAGCCATTAGAACAATAATAACTACTATTAACAAAATTTTATTGCTCTCTTCTGGTTTTTGTAAGCCCTCAATTTCTCTTTTTAACTTTTCTATTTCAGCATTTAAAAATTTAATTTTTTCGGTCAGAATTTGGTTTTGTTTTGTTATTTCTGCTGAATTGTCCTTAGCCTTTTTATTCCCGTTTTCTTGAACCGGCTTCGGAGAAGAGGCTTTTTGCCGAATTTTTAACAAAAATTCTTTCACAATTACTTCAATTTCCTCTCGCGAGGAAGCAACATTTATTTTTCCTTCGTATTCCTGGTATTCTTGGTCAGTAAATTGCCCTCTCATTTGTCGTAACACCAATAAAGAATTAAGCCTAATGCCTTTCAACTCAACCTGATTATTTTTTTTCTCTTTAAATTTTTCTAATTCACGGCGTAAAATTTCTAATTGTTTTTTGTCATTTTCCTGGTTATCCTCTAAATCAATGTTAAAAAAATCGTAGGGAATAATTTTATGAACCATTTCCGGTTCAATCTTTATTTTACTTTCTAATTTTCCTTGGTCCACCTCTTCGGCTCATTGTAAAAGACAATAGTCAAAAATACTGTCTATTCTCAATTTACAACTGCCCATTTATATAAGCGTAAATAAATATGGTAGTAAATAAGGAAATACGAGAAAAAACAATTGAAATATTAGATAATTTTGCCGACAAATCAATAAAAATAATGTCCGAGGCATTGGCAGAAAAAGACAAGATTATTAGAGGGTTACGAGAACAGATAAAGAATTGTTGATGCCAAGAAAAAAGATGCGAAAAGTGCGGAGAAGTGATGAAAAAAATAAAAGAAGTAAGCGAAAAAGGCAACCAGTTAATAAGGTGAGAATGTTCTAATTGTGAAACAAAAGGGCCAATTATTTTATTAGATGAATACGAAAAGAACCAGGAAACTCCGAAATGTTGAAAGTGCAGAGTAGATATTGAGGCGGGGCATTTATGCGTTAAGTGTGCGAACACGGAAACTAAAAAACCCGAACCAGTTTTTAAAAGTAGAAAAGTAAATAAATAACATGGAGGGGATTATTTTGGCAATTTTAATTTTTACGATACTGAACTTTACCCTTAATTTTAGTGTGATTTACTACCTATTGAATAGATTATGTAATGAATGTAAGAAAGATAAAGAAATAACAAGGACTTTTAATGATAAATGTAAAAAATGCGAGAAAACAGTATGAACGAAACTATAAACAAAGAACGCAAGAAATACGAACCTATTACTTATAATGTTTGGGGGGAAATAGAGAAAGTAATTGAAAAGCGAATATACGACAAAGGGGGAGAATATAAACCCAAGGATCAAGTTTGTTATCATTTACATTTAACTAATCAACGCCCCGCGGAGGTGAAAAGTATTAGTCCGTTCAAAAGTAAGATTGAAAATGAAAAAGTGTGAGATGATATTGTAATGGGTAGGTTTTATGGCAAGAAATACATTTTTTACTATCAGAAATATAAACAATACTTCAATTTAATAAATTGGGAGGAACAGAAATAATATGGAAACGAAGTTGTTACTACTTTTTTAATAATTAATTTCCGCTTTTGGGAGTTAACTGAATTACTAAAAGCAATTTAAACAGTAGTTAAGAGCGGAAATTTAATGTGAAAAAGGTAGTATTAGACCAGACTTCAACCGGAAAACCCAAACGGGATATTAAGGATTATGTTTGACATAATTACAAAATGAAATACACCCAAGACAAGCGGGGGTTTTGGTTAATAGTCAATTACCGCAAACAAAAATATTTTGGATTTTTAGACGAAGGAATATTAGGAAAAGCGATAAACGACAATCAGACCCACGAAACTTTGTTAAAAATAGTGGAAAATATTGCAGAAAAGATAAAGAAAAAATTGGCAGAAAGTAATTTTGAGTATGGTAAGTAAAGTGATTTTACTAAATAAAGCGAGTGAAAAGGAGATATTAGAGGAAGTGATGAAAAGGCGAGGAGTAAAGTTTGAAATTAGCGAGAACCCTGATAATTACGCGTATCGGTTAATGTTAATAGATAAAAAAACCCTGTCGGCATTAAAATACGGCGGGCAATTGAAAGTAAGGTATGATGAACGAAAATAAAAGATTAACCCCGTTTATTCATTGAGTAGGCGGAAAAGGACAAAGTATTAAAGAAATTGTGCCGTATTTTCAAAGTTATAGTAATAGTTATTGGGAACCAATGATCGGAGGCGGTTCGTTATTCTTGTGAACTAAACCGATGACAGCGGTAATAAGTGATATCAACCCTGAATTAGTGAACTTATGGAAGTGCGTTAGAGACTACCCAAAAACACTTATCAGACAATTAGAAAGACATAAACGAAACCATAGCGAGGAGTATTATTATAAGATTAGAGATCAATTAAACCGAGTGAAGTTGACAGGAAATAACCCGCCGAATGTAAATAATGCGGGAATGTTCTTATATCTTAACAAGGCGGGATTTAACGGGTTATATAGAGAAAACGGCAAAGGTCTCATTAATGTTCCTCACGGACATAAAGAAAAGGTTGCGTTATTTACCCAGCGAAATATAACTGAAATAAGCGAATATTTACGAACTAACAACATTACGATCATTTGCCAAGATTACGCGGAAATTAGACCTCAAAAAGGCGATTTTGTTTATTTAGATCCCCCATATGACGGGACTTATAACGATTATACTGCCCGCGACTTTTGCCAATTACGACTTAAAGAATATTGCGATGTTTTGAACCGAGAAGGGATTAAGTGATTACAGACTAATAAGGATACCGAGACTATACGGAGACTTTACCGTAATTATCGTATAAGAATGATAACCGTTAATGCGGTTATTAATTCTAATAGTGAGGAGCGGAAAGATTGTCGACAAGACCTAATTATTACCAATTATGAATACTAACCGACTAATACCAATTGAGGATATACAATGGATTTACGACGGAGAAAAAGAAACTTGCGAAATGATGATAAATGGCCGTTCGCAAATGTTAACCGTAAGCGGAACGACTAATAAAGGCGGCAAATGATACCAAATAGGCGAGGAAAAAAGGCATTGAATATCTTTTAACCCCGATAAGTTTAACCCCCAAAATTACGAGGCATTTTATAAGCGAGTAGAAAAGAAAGAATTAGCGGATGGAACTATTACCGATTTTATAACTTA